TCTGGCAGAGCAAGTGTGGTTAGTACCCTCTTAACTTGTACACTACATCAGACATACTATCTACCCTTTTGTTGAAGCATCGTCTTGCTTAATCATTTCGTGATAATGGATGATGGATGAAGAATTCATTGATCATTCGGATTCGATAGTCATCGCCAACATGTAGAGTACCAAATGTCAAACAAATAACTTCTCTATTGAAAATTTCCATTGTTGCTTCATCTTTGCATGTTAGCATGCTTCTTCTTCTTCATAGATATAGGATATATAGCATATGTTCTTTATACTATATAGGATGAGCGACTTATAGAGTATACGTTTTCTCTGAGAACACTACTTTCCAATTGCCTACTGAGCTCATAGTACCACCTTGTCTAATCAATAGTAATTACTCGTCTTATCTTAAGGATGATATCGTTGTTGTTCGTTACGGCGATCACTTTAGATCTAGACTATATTAAAAATTAAACAAAGAGTTTGTTTACATATAACTTTTCGGAATTTAAAAATTTTCGGACACAATATAGTTTTTACTGTATCTAGTCACAGCAAAATATGTGTATAGTACATTTTCTGCTGTTCTATGATCCTCTGACAGAATTCACAAAAATCTTCACCACTCAAGTATGATTTATTTTAGATAACACTTAAAGGTACAATGACTTGTAAAAATAGATTTGATACCTATTTATATAAGTATAGGTATAGAGGAATTTATATTTCAATAAAATTTCTTTTCTTCTGAATTTCAAAAGAGTTTGCTTCTGAATTCACCAGATAAGTCTTTTGTTAATCGCATGCTACTTAAGTCTTCCCAGAAGTCAGTAAGAGTAGTTTTCATCCATTTGAGTATGAAGTTGTTATTTCAACTATTGTTGACTCCAATAATAGAAATATGTTTTTATATATGATACATTTACCATATTTAAGTCCATTGTATTAATTTGTCTTTTAAGTGTTTTTCTCATGGAGAGTTGTTGTCTTTTGACGTTTTACAATCGCAGAGGAGTCTATGTCCAAGTTTAAAAGCAGATCTGTATTTCTGGCGTACCAAGGAGCATTTGCATTGTATCGAGTGGCTTCGTTCTGAAATCGTCTTCATATTGTCTACCTAAAATCATGAACATTAGACGCTTAAACAGTAGCTTTTTTGGTACAATTTTTACAAAAAGAATAAAAATTTTGTATAGTACATTAGAGGAAAACTGTTCAGCTTTTTTTTTCTCAGATTTTATGAAAAAGATTTTATTTCTATCCACAAACATCCCAAACTAAATGCTTCACTTAGAAACGGGTTTACTAATGCAGTTTGTAGACACAGTGCAAACTCATTTCGTCTATTTGAGAAGAATTCTCAATCTTCCCTCCATAAGGTTTCCTCGAATACCAGCGACTGACAAACAACTGACAAAGGCATATATTGGAAATGTATATAGACATATCTGTTCAGAGCTGGTTCTTTTAATGACTAGTAATCGAATGCTAGGTCAGGATCTCATGACATTTCCCCACGGCTGCAATATGGTATTATGCATAGTTTTTATTATGAAAAGACTTAGCACATATCGAGCGAACTTTTTAAGTGTAGAGGGTCTTGGGTCTTTTTAAACTAAACGGTAGAGAATTTAATATATATGAACGTGATTGTTCTTTGTGTAATCGTCATGAAATAGAATATATATGTCATATTATTGGTGTATATATGTCCGATTTTCATGGAAGATAGACGTATTTTTTTTTTTGATTAAGCACTTCTGTCCGAAGAAGAAGTTGAAGTCTTGTTAAACGATAGCACAATACTTATAACCTAAATAAATTTATGAAAAGTTGAAGAATTATTAAAGAATTTATATGAATAATAATGTTCATAATATGCACCGCTTTTTTGTATGTCAATAAATGCTATATGAATGTCTTTGGATCAATAAAAAATAACAATATATGTACATTTCAAAGCTTTATTTATTTTTAAAAGTGATAGTGTTATTGCATATATTACACTGTGATATTACAATATTTGTTTATTATGGAAATTGTCTACTCTATGAAAGTTACTTTGTGCATGCAAATAATCATAAATAAATTATACATACTATTACCTTAATATATATAATATTGTATATATATTGTACTTACATAACTATATCTTTGTACATTAGCCTCCCTGCAAGGTGAACCTTTCGGTACTTACATTTTTATTAAATACCAATTTAGATAACCGTAAGCGAAGCGTAAACCTTACAGGTTGTCTTATGTCTACAAAGATGTCGCACAAGAGAATATTATCTCTGCCAATGCCTTCCCGCACAATCAGCATATTAGCATCTCCGTATGCTTTATATCAAACACTCTTGAATTTTTTATTTCATATTTTATTTTTTGCTCATTTATTTTTTATCACTATCGTCCATCCCTCCCTAATAAAAATTATAATCATCTTTACGTAAAAATTGTAGTAAAATATTCAGACAATAATGTAGCCAACATCAGGTACATTTGTGAAGTTTGGTCAAGTAGCACTGACTGTGCATAGCACTCTACTTTTTTGGGTACCTTATGAAAAATACAAAAAAAAATATAGATATAGATTCTTACATATATTGAAATTATGTTTTAAATGTAATAAATAAAAAAATTAACAAAGACAAGTTTTCGGTATCCGGACGGTATAAATAGTCGCTCCTCCACTAGGCTAAATTCTCAAAAATATTCTTTTGTAAACAAGCATAAATGTCTGTGTAAAAGATACTGCCATAATCTTTTTTTTGGTAAATTTGTTGCACTGTCCTCTGTTACAATGCGAAAATTGTCAAAGTCATACATAGACAAGACTGGTTGGCACAACCCTGAACTGATATCCTACTGTACCCTACTAAACTGATATAGTCCCGTTTGACTTTTTTCTGTTCTTATGTGCCTCGTTACTTTTACTAGAGCCAATGCTTAGCTTGGGATAGTGCGTTAGATTCTGACGATGTTGAGAAAAGTTCTATTGCAATAAACCCAGGTCGATTGTTTGCCTCAATTTCAAGTTGACTTTCTAGAAGCTTTAAATGGCAATTGCTTAAAATATAAGTATATATTTAGATATTTGCTGTGCACTATATATTTTATAAAGCATTTTATTATACATATAATTTCTGATTGTGCGAATACAGAAGTTGACTGAAAGCAGAATTCACAGTAGTTTCGCTTTAAGTCAAATTTAAGTCATCAAATTTGTCTTCATCATTTATTTATAAGTCACTTTTGAGACATGTTACGACTGTGAAATCCTTCTTGTTTACTTGCAAATTGAGGAATGAGCTTTAATATCAACTATCAGTTACCCGCACAGATGGTAAAATCAAATTCCAATTTTCTTTGGACTTCTAAAAATAATTCCAATTAAATAATGCAATCAATAATTCTTTCGCATCGGAAACAAAGCTCGCCATAGTGAATTCGACTCGATTTCAAATCATCTTCTTCGATTTATTGATCTCATTAAGTAGCTTCAATTATGGAGTTTCTGGATAGATAACCACATATCTTCTATTACAGATTGTATTACAGACTGCAGATGAAATATATATATATTTTGAAACATAATTAATTTCTACACTACACAACTGTGTAAACTGTCGAAACTGCTTAACTCGCAAATGTAGAGTTCAAAAACTGGCGGTAATGTTCAATCTTTTTTTGCTTACTTATTAGGGTGGATGGTGTGAGTAGTTTGCAGGCATAAGGTAAATGTTATGTGGCCTGCATTACTAAATGTTCGGTTTAAGTATTGTTGATGGATATTATATATTATTTTGTTGGGATTTAAAAATAAAAATTTTTGCTGTTTGAAGTTAACTTTTTTATTTGTAACGAAAACATCAAATGGCAATTCAATATCGAAGGACGATAAATTATATAAATATTGATATATTGAACAGTTTTAAGTATTGATGTATATCAATGACTGATTCAATAACATAACGATTCCAAATTTTTAGGATTTTTAGGATGAGCGAAGAAGTGTAGCACTATTTGTGAAAGTTGTTTTTTATAATATAGTTTAAATACAGTTTTCAAATTAAAAATGGAAGGATGAAAGTGAAAGACATTTTTCATTAAAATGTATTTATTGTTTTCACTATACTGAAAATTCAAAAATTACGGTGAATGAATACATTCAAAACAAGCTGTAATCTTCCAAAAGTAGATTAGCTAATTACATATTAATGTACTATAGTCCTTATAGTCCCTATGACACGAAAAATCTTACGGATTTAGGATCCATGATCCTCACTTATTTGCTGTCGCAAATTTAAACAACAAACGTTTAATAAAGCTATCTCCAGTGGGGTATATAAAGATTTATATTTACCGCAGCAAAAGAGCTGGGTACCCAGAAAATTTATTTACCTAGCTTCGTGGAATGTACTTTTGAAGCATATTGCTCTCTTTGCTTTTTTGTAGAGTTTTGGTACTTTAGTTGCTTTACATATCATGGGCTTCGTTGTCGGTAGCAACGATTAATGGCTTAAACTAGGATACATCGTTTTACCAGTTTCTATTTATTTTTAACTTGTGGAAGAAAGTAGTAATAGCACTATAATAGAAAAATAAAATAAGATTAGGACACTTAATCAACAGTCAGATCAAGGCGTACATGTCCAATCTATTCCAAATGTAGAACATCTGACTTGATACACAGAAGTGAATCAGAGGTATATAGGTTAATATCTGTCTTTACAGGGTACTGGACTATAGGACGGGATTGAGGTAAGCTTGACCTCTCCTGTAGTATCTCCTACAACGCATGTCTACCAACTCCCGAAGAACAGACACTAAACCACCTGTTGTGTCCTTTAAGGTGAAATCAAAAATATATTGATTTGTTTTTTACTTTGCAATTTCCAATTGTCTTAGTTGTTTATATTTATTTATATGGATTGCCTTGAAAAATTAGGTTTAAAAAAGTTAGTAGGCAAAGTAGCTAAAGAATATATTAAAAAAAATTTTTTTTTTTTTTGTATATTATCATTTTTGGTCGCATTTTAACATCAAAGAATTGTTCATATATAAATTAAAAGATCCGTGAATGAGTAAGTACATTTTCTACATAAATTCCTATTTTTATTTTCTCAAGTGTTATATTTGTTCTTTTTCTAAAGAACAAAGTTCTTAAAAACAAACCATCTGCTGAAATATATATTTGTGCGCTTATTTGTTGAGAAATAGCGAAAAAGTGAAATATTATATTTTAAATTTTTAGAAGAAATACACTTTATTTGATACGCGTTACTAGATTGAAATTATTAGATTGATATTAGTTGAAAAAAAAAAAGAATATTGTTACAACATATATTTTATTTATGCCTATTAATTGATTTATAAAACTCCAGTTATCCAAATATGTACTTTTTTAGAGAAAATTGTGATGCTCTCAGAGACTATAAAAATTTCCAAAATATTTTTTCTTATATATCCTTTCTGTTTGCTTGTGAAGAATATGTTCAAGTCATTCATATCTTAGTGGCATTTTATCTTTAGTAATACGAGCTAATTAGCTCCGAACCCTAATTTGTTGATATTGTGTCATGCCAGAATATTTGTATAATGTGGCGAAGACACCGGTTGATAAGATCTTGCAGAAGTTAGGCGCTGTTGGTGGTAATATTTTAGTTCGCACTGTCCTCTTGAAGTGCTTTAACGAAAGTGTTGATTAATTTAATTTTTATGCAAAGGCAGATAATCTACGATTTCTTTATTTTTTAAGGGTTCCAAAAGTTTTTGTACTCCTGTAATAATGCCCAATGGGTTGTCGACATCGTTTAATGTATACCAACCTAGGTAACAGAAATGATTGACATCCCTTATGAGAATGAGGCATTTTAGTTCTATATTCGATAAGGAATTCAGTAGAGTTATTTAATCAACTTTCTGAACTCAATAAAAAATATGAAATTGTGAATATTTATGATTCGAGAAAAGAAGAGCAAGTACTTCAATTAAGAAATCCATTTATTAACTTAGATCCAAAGAGGTGGATATTTCCAATAACAGCTTTATAGTGTCATGATTTAACTTATAATGGCCCCCAGCAAAGCGTGGAAAAATCTAATAAAAGTTGTCCTAAGAATTTTAATAGAAGACATTTTTCGAATTTGTATTTTACTGGAAAACTGAATAACGTCACATATGGTTATTTTGCTTTAAATATCAAAAGTCTATTGCTCTTCATATAGAGTTTTCACGCACATGCAGATACAGATGGTAAAAGAAGAATGCTATGACTGGAAAGATTTGACAAGTCAAGGTTATGATAATGGTGGCAATATGGTCGGCATTAAAAAAGCGTTGGAACAAGAATTCTGTATAGTAATCTAATAGCATTTTCCACGCCTTGTGGAAGCGACAGTTGGATTTTGCTTTTGATTGACGCAGCTAACGAAAATCTTTTTCAGGTTTATTAATAAAATCTATTCGCTTTTTTCAAAGTCGGGCAAGCGATGGGAACTTTCAAAAATAAATTAAAATTGACCTTAAATCCTTTAATCTGAAATAAGATAGTTAAAATTAAACTGATGATTCAGAACCTCTAAGCGATTGTGAAGCAGTCTTGAATGAAATGCTGGCTTTCGAGTTTATTGTCTCAATACACGAGTGGTACGAACTTTTACTACGAGTGAACAATATATATAAACTATGGCAATCGACTGAAGTGAACTTGAAGATCGCTATTGACAGTAAACGCTTATTTCGTACCTGGGTAAAAGACTATCGTAATACTGGATTTGAAAAACCGTTGAACAATCAGAGTTACGGAATTGAAAAAAAATTGCAAAGAAAAAACGATTAAGTAAAAATATTGCAAATTTTTTTGGAACAATCTGCTCTAATTTCTCCAGAGATTGTCATTTTTCTCAACAATTTATAACTAATAAAAGTTTTTTCATTCAGCATGATTATAATTGTAGATCATTATCTGCCACGGCTAAAAAAGTCGAAATTGATATTACAATAGTTGAATATAGTAGTCTCATATGCAATGTACAGGGAAAAACCCTGAGGTGCGACCGTATATCATTGTTAGGTAATCTTTCAACAATCTTAAAAAATATATTATTCGAACTATATAATAGCATTCTTGAGAAAGGTATTTATCCACAAAGTTGGCGTACTGCTAAAATTGTTCCCATAATCAAATCAAAAACATCTAGCTGTGAAACTAGTAACTAACGCCCAATTTCACTTTTGCCGTACATGGGTAATATTCTGGAAAAAGAATTTTAATTACAAATAACCTAATAAGTTCTAAAAAAGTCGTCTTTAGAAAAATCAAACCGCAACTGATATCCTTCTACATCTCCAGCACTATGCGTCTTCTGCTCTTTCTACTAAAAAGTCAAGCAACTATCTTAGCTACTAATTTTGAAAAATCCTTTGATCCCATTGGAACACACGTTGTGCTTCAGCAGATTGCTATTTGGAAAGTTGATCAAAATATATTAATTTCGTTGAAACGTTTTTCACTAATCACAAATTTTGTGTTAGGCTTAATTCAACTCGCTCCGATATCTTTTCTCTGTATAATGGGATCTCACAAGGATCTTCAGTATCTGTCATTTTATTTATAATAGCTTTCGATACACTAAGTAAAATAATATTGAAATACAATAGAGTTGAACACCCTATCTACGCCAATGATACAATAATATTTTCCAATATTAAGGACATATCTATTGTTCAAATAATTTTCACTGAGATATTAAATGACATAAAAGAATGGAGTTAATTTTCTGGTGCTAATCCAACTAAATTTAAGCTATAATGTAGTTAACATCAAGATTGTTAATCATTTAAAAATATTAGGTGTAGTGTTTGACAACAAACTTAACTTTAAAAAACAGTGTCTAGAATTAAGAAAAAATGTAGACACCAGGTTAAACATTATGAAATACCTATCATCTAAACACATTTTTATTCATGTATCAACTTTGATTAATATCACTAGCTCACTTATACTCTCTAAATTAGATAATGCTCTAAAAGTCGTTGGATGGTGTGCAAATAGAGCAATATTAGACCCTATCATAATGTCGTTTGAAGAATTATTGCTGTGTTCCCCACTACTCCAACCAAAAACTTTTTGACAGAAGCTGGGTTACCTACTTCCTATAAGTTAGGACAGCAACTTATAATCTTATTCCGAAACTACAACAATGTAGCAACAACGCCATTTTACATAAGGAGGTTTTAAATGTCTGCCATCCAAATGGAACAAATAAAGTTAAATTGATCGACCTCGACATCAAATCGTATCGTATAATACGAAATCATAAAGCTCCTTGGTTTCTCCATTCAATTTCTTTTGAAATCAACCCGCAAACCTATGGAGAAAGTAACACAACCACCGAAATGTATAGACAGCTGTTTGCAGAAGTTTCTGATTACCATATATAAACCAGCTCTAGCATCCAGAAGATATAGGTTCTTAGGAAAATACTTTTATGATAGTTTATCATTATTAAATTAAATTAAATCATTATTAAATTATTAAATTACCTAAATTCAGTGAGATGGATTTAGTTTCTACTCTTCTATACTAGGGTTCTTGCGAGGAATGTGGTAACAAAACGGCGAAAAATCGCTAATTGAGGCACATTTGAAGTTATCTTATGACCTGCCACTGCAACCAACCAACCATATATAAAACAATTGGACTCTACACGGATGGTTTAAAAACTGAAAATCATGTCACATTTGCAATTACTTTCTGCTCAAAAAGTATCCGGATTTTGTTGTTTGTTAACTACTCCTTAAGTAATAGACTTTTTTCAAAAAAAAAATACACCCTTTCTTGATATATGGTACAAATTTGAGCGCCATCTGTCAATTAGTTTGTTTACAGCACCTGTTAATGTAAGACTACCTCAAGTGCTTTTAGCGATTTTTACTATGGAAAATTCTTGTTGTACGCGATTTTTTGACCAAACACGGCACCGCTGTCATCGCTCAGGCACCATATTCGCCAGATCTGGATCCGTGCGACTTTTTCCTCTTCCCGAAACTCATATTGCCCCTTCGTGATAAGCGTTTTGAGTCGATTGAATCGGTTAAAAGAGAATTCGCCGGAGAAACTAAAAGCCATACCTGCACGGGCCTACGAAAAGCGTATTGCTACAGAAGGAGCATATTTTGAAGGAGATAAAATAAATTTGGAATAAAATTTAAATTTGTGTGTTTTATTTACAAAATCCGAGTACTTTTTGAGCAGAAGGTGTACAACAAAATTACTACATTATTACGACTGGACCACATTGTTCCATCTTTACTACAGAGGCTCTGGCAATAAAACTTGCTATCGACCATGCATCATGCAACAAAGGCAAATTTCTGATATGAGATAAATTTGTGTTTTGAGTCTATCTTTAAACTATACTTTTTTATTCCTTAAATTCCTAAATAAGCCAACAAAATTGTCGAAAATTGTGGTAAGAATGTCGATATTCAGCAGAACTAGGTGAATAGAACATTCCGAATAAATTGTATTTGAGTTCCACTTATGTGGAAGTCATAAGATATGGTGCTAGATATAACCTATAGCAAATCTATAATCAAAGCTTTAAAAAATATTAACAATAGCAGCGAACTTATCTGCGCTTTCAGAAATAATTGCATACGTTTTTCAAACAAAATTCAAATCATATGAGTTACTGGGCACAAAGGACTCAAAGAAAATGAACTAGCAGATCAAGCTGTGTCTGCCTCCATTCGCTCTCCCTTGGTCTTATTCAATGCATGCGAAAAAGAGACATTTTAAAATTTATGAACAAACATATGGAAGACAATAGGGTTATAGAATGATCAGTGTACAATCATTGCTACAAACCGAGCAATATAAGTGGATTAAAAGCTATATATCCACTATTATGCACTTGTCAACAATGTCCAATTTTTATCCGATTGCGTATGGGACATTCAAAACTTTTTCACGAACACCTTTTGATTGCCGATCAGTCATCAAACTGTCTATTTTGTAATAGCACACCATCCGTAGATCATATACTTAACGATTGCCCTTCTTTTGATTGTATATACTTAATAATATAATTCCAAATATTTACCTATCAGTAAGAGGTTTTATAATTACTGTTAAAAATATACTTTTGACATATATAAATACATTAAAGCCTAAAATCTAGTCAATAAAATTTAATTTATAATATCTGAGCTGATGGCCCTGGCAGTTAGCACTCATTTTTCCTATCTTAATTATAAGATTTTATAATATTAATTAATTTTAATAAATAAATAAATAAATATCAATTAAACAATTTAATTTTTTTAAAAGTAAGTGGATCTAAGCTATTAAAGGCATTTGATAGATAATTGACTTTACCTTGTAAACCTTGAATATCAGATACTTTTAAGAACATCACTATAACATATTATTTCTTAGAATTAGTTGTTGTAGTAACTTTTTTCAACCTTTTTGTTTAACAGATCTATTAAAATTCGATATCTGATTAAATGCATAAAGATTTTATATATCCTAATATATAATACGATGTTGTTTGAAGAATATATGATTTTAGAGATCATTCTAAAATATATTTAGAATATATTCGGAGTCATTCATTGCATTAATACCCAATATACTTTTTAATTATTTTATTTATAAATAGTAATTGTTATTAAATAGTAATAAATTATATATAAATATAATAAATATAATTTTATATGAGTTGGCATATTATATTATAATTCGATTAGATTCTACTTGTTAATTTAAATATTATTAAATTTAGTAGTTAAATCGGTTTTCCGCATATTTATAATAAATATTTTTTTTTGATTTCAGATAAAGAAAAGCCGGCTATTTTGTAAAATTTTATTTATTTTTATACTACTGTAAGTATATATGTAATAAATACTAGCAAAAATGAAAATGATTTAAAACTTCTTTTTAAAATTTTGCAGCTTTATTTTTATTTCGATACTAGAGAACATCAAAAATGGCAAATCAACATTTGGTACAAAAAATGTTTCAGGCTTTCAACGAAAGGGACGACATATCTTATCGAAATACAGATTCAGTTAGCTCAACTATTTCAACAGTCAGTTCGTATAAACTAAAGAAGAAATTATCACCATATATTGAAAGGAAAAACAAAATCGAAGTGAAATCTATGAGTGTTATGGGATTTCCCGAAAAGTACAGATATGCTTGGAATTTTTTACATCCGCACTACAGCGTATCATTGTCACCAATAGTAAAATACATGGTAGCGCATAGACAATATGACGATACAGAGGTTCGAATTGGCACAGAGGTGTATTACTGCCATATGAAGGTTTTACAAACCTATTGTAGAAAATTTGACGAGCTAACCAATGAAAGAGTAATTCAATTAGCACCAGAGATCGTATCACCTCATGTGTTTACGGAACTTTATGCCTGGATTATTGATAAAAAGAAAGGTATTCGCAGGCAGGATTTGGTGGGAATTTTAAAAGCAGCCTCTTTTCTTAAAATGAAGGCAATGTTAGACTACGTTACTTCTTGTTTAGCTGATAGCTCAATTTTCAATGAAGAAGCAGCTGTGATGTTTTATACAGAATCCATCGGTTTAGATATTCCCATTGTCCATTGGACAATGTTGCAACGTATAACAAGATTCTTTTTAACATTTGTCGCTAGTAAAGATTTTTTATATATGAAGGCTGTTGATTTAATGCACTTAATAAAGTGTAATTACATTGGTGTCAACTGTGAGACAGAGGTATTTTTCGCAGTTATTAAGTGGTTTAGCCATGATCCAGACACACGTAAAAACTTTCTGGCTGAAATTATGGAAAATGTACGTTTTGGACTGATGCCGGCCGTACAATTAACTCACTTAAAAAATTCTTCTCGATGTCATGCGAATGTTTCACGAGCAATAAATGTTAGAGGTGTAGATCAGTTAATTAATGATGGCTTATCTTACCGCTCCATTATAGAATGTTATGGCAGTGACGACTACGAATTTATGCTTCATTTGAAAAGAGCTGCATTCGTAGAACTACCGTACCGTTACTGGATAATAGATGTCAATTGCAATTATCATCACAGTTTATTGTGTAAACATCGTAATGCAGTTTCATTCGAAATGTTTCTGAATTACTTGGATACGTTGCAACATATGGATGCAAACTATTATAAGACATATATGTTATTAACAAATGACACTAAGATACAATGCTGTAATTTTTTTAACGCGATTGAACGGAAAATGGAGGAAGACGGGCACGCTTACCTATCGAGTGAATCCACCGATGTGATTAGTGTTCAATCAGTAAAAACACCTTCAGATTTATTTAGCTCTGCTGCCATGGATGGTCCTGGATTTCTGGCTCAAGCATTGGACAATGAATATGCAAGTGTTTGAAGAAATATAACAAACTGATGTAGTACGATCAATTGCTTGAAACTGATTTATATTTTTACTTCAAAGTTGATTGTATCTACCGCTAAATCAGTAATCAGTATTTCGATATATCGAAATTATTTGCATGCACTGCAAATAGTTTCTTGATTTACAATCATCTTCTGTAATGTAGATTTTAAGAGGATTCAAAATTAAAGTAACAATCTGAGACGGATTATTTTATTGCATTATATATATAAGAAGTATAATTTATTTCTATGATTTCATTATTTTTTATGTATTTTTCTGTTTTAATTACATAGCTTGGAAAGAAGTTGGAGTATATAGCTATTTATCGGTTTTTCTGATAAATATTGGGTGTGGTTGGGTGGAACTAAACGTTCTTTTGCAATGACACCTAACGCGTTTTGCAGTGTCCTTTTCCACATTATAATTTAATATGTCATTATTTGTGAAAGTGAAAACAATATATGCTTAACTGCCATTAAACCTATCGAATTTCGAACTAACGAAACAGCATTTACGGAATGTATTACATTTTTGACTAAAACTGGATTCACACGAGAGTTTTGCTTGTAATTTTGACTGTCAAAAATGTTTCTTTTGCATTGAAAGCAACAACAATTGACAGCTGAAATTACAAATAACACTTGTGTGTGAATCCAGTATTAATTAGCAAAAACTCTCATCTGCTGAACGTTTTCGTGTTCTTGAAAAAACTTGTGATGAAGTTATTAATTGATGATGTGGAAATTAGTTTGAATGATTCTAAAAAGGTGTTGTCAGTAACAAAGACCGTACAGGTCAACCAAAAAAGTTCGAAGATGATCACGAATTGGAAGTATTATTGAGGGAAAAACCCTGCGCAAACACAAAATGTACATGCAGTGCAGTTAGATGATACTCGAGCAGTTACCAATGAACGTTCTCATGCCAATAAGATGGTTCAAAAAGAACTAAAATGGGTACCATATGAACTGACTGAAACATTCATTTTGGATTTTTTGTATCGAGTTGTGACAGATAATGAAAAACAGATTTGCTGCGATCAACCGAAAAGCTAAAAATCTTGGATTTATGCAGACGAACCATCCATATCAACAGGTTATGTTATGAGAGGTTATGTTGTGCATTTGGTAGGATCAGAAAAGTATGCTGTACTATAAGCCGGTAAAACTAAATGAAACTATTACAGTTGAGCGCCACAAAAATAGTTAGTAGACTGAAACCATGCATTGTATGAAAAATGTTTGATTCCATCCGACAAATAACGTAAAGTGATTGTGCTCCACATATCACAAGACAAGTGAAAAATACATTGAAAGCACTTAAATGGAAAACTTACCGCAAGCTCTTTATTCACTAGATTGTGTTCCATCAGATTACCACTTGTTCTGATCAATGCAAGGCAACTTTCGAGACCAGTACTTCAGAGATCACAAAGAAATCAAAAAATTGCTGAATGGTTCCATTTTAATTAAATTTTTAACAATTTCTTAGATATAAACGTGCTTTTGCAGAAAAAATACAAAAATGTATACCGAAGAACATATCTGTTCATATGGGTCTGGAGGAATACACTAAGATATACGTTATCTTTAAAATAGCAATATAATATTAATAATAGTAGTTTCTTATGTTATAATTATAAAATTATAATTATATTTATTTTAGTTTGTCGTTGGACAATAAATAATTCTAAATTTGATACTTTTTATTTTCATACATAAAACAAAAATTCTTGGTTTTACAATTATTTGGGTTACTATAGATCATATTGACGTAATGGATATACGCAAAAATTCTTACAATGAATAAATATTTTCTAAATGCTATTAGTCTACATTTTTTTATTTTCATACAAAACACGTCTTTTTAAAAGTTTTTTTAACTTGAGAGAATCACTGGTCCCGTCGGTGTCCGCTTAAGAGAGCTTACAGTGTACTATATAATTACACTATATAAAACCTTACTATCTCGTACTGTTACTTTCTTTATAAACAATTTTACTACTCAATTGAGATATTAGAAAAGAAATTCATTCGTCTAGTTCATCTGTTATAGATCGCCATCGAATAGTTTCAATAGCTCTTCGACCTCTTTGAAGTTTATATTGTTTTGCACTAGCTCGCTTGATATATCTGAACTTCCACCGCACGCCGTGTCGCTCTCGATTGTGTTATTCTTATTCTAGTCCACAAATTTCCTGTCTATTAAATTTACTTTTATACCAAAAAGGTAGGCTGAATTTTTTTAAAAGTCCTTATAATGGATTAATACTTAAATCAAATGGTTCGCTTCAATTTTTAACAAATGGAGATTAAAACAAATATTTTTTATTTATTCTATTTTCGAGTTAGCTTATACAATACAATACAACATTATGATAATAAGTAAATAATTTAAGTTAAACTCTATAAACTATTATGATATATAAAAAAAAAAAATAATGCGTAAATAAACTATAATCCACACGAATTATTACTTAAACTAAACTTAGTTTAGATTCACCAAAAAATTATTTAATTTAAATTCTACTTGTTTTTTCAGTAAGTCTGATGTGTAATTCTATAATTCTGGGATGTTGTATTGAAATCCTGGATTCTTGAATTTAAATTTTTCTATTTCGAATTTTAATTTCTCAAATTTTACATTTGCAATACGTTTCATCTGGAGTATTAGCTCACCTGCATCCTGTGATGTGATTGCGATAGTGTCAGCAATGGGAGCACCCTCCTGTATACCTATGTTCGATTTGTTGAGTTATAGGCGCTTCTTTAACCTCGTATATTATTTGTCCCGGTGCATGTAAAATTAGTTCTCTCAATTGTATATCGCCATTTATTGATATTGTCTCTGTAGTTGCAGAAGCTGTGTGTGCAATTGTTTGCACAATTTCTGGTACGGCGCTATTAATAGTCGATCCAATTATTTGCTTGCGATGTGTGATGAACTCTAATTGATTCTCTTTGTTTGGACTCTCGTTAGTATGTGGCGTGTTCTCAACAACAGTCGTTCGATAAGTTGTTGTTATACCATTGCCTGTATTAGGTTGTTCTACTTTTGGTTCCAACTCATCTGGTAGAATATTTTCGTTATCGTCGTACTGATCACTTAATGCTTCATCGTCGTCACTGCCTATTAATTTATTAAAAGCACCCTGTAATTCTTTCAGCTTTTATATAGCTTACGATGTATGTTGTGTTTCGAATTCTTCATCACCATAACAAATATATCCTTCCCATCAGATACACTAAGCCTATATTTACAGCGCGTTGTATTTTTCCAATTGCTTGAACGATAACGCCACTCTTCTGCAGTCAAAGTAGGTCCTTTTTGGCTTATGTTCAGTTTCGCTGATAGTTCCTTCCATTTCCTACTTAAATAATTGCAATCCGTGTTACGCGGCACACTCTGTGTGGCAAATATCTAGTCTTTTTCCATCAGGTCTATATACATCATGTGAATTTTTGACTGAACATACAGTTGTTTGAGTATTGCCAAATGTCCATCATTAGTGGTCTTGGAATCATTTCTTAAATCTATAAATAAGAATAATTTTAATTTTAAAAATGGAAATATATTTGAAAAAATGTTTTCCTTTTAGCAAATGAAATGCGCTTTGCTAAGTTTTTTTTATGGAGGAACAGGCGAATTCTCCATTTTTATATCTCGATAAATAAAAGTCATGCACCAAATTCATATTTTGTTATTTAAAATTAATAAATAATTTAATGACGGTTGTTACTAAATTCAATGTTGTTTTCAAAATAAAACAAAGCAAAGAACCAAAGACTATTCAATACATATTAAAAATATTGTATTGTGCCCAAACCCCCAGCCTTTTAAAATTAAACTGGAGATTTGTCATCGTCATGCCCTCATAACCAAATTATGGTTACAAGACCATGTTCTCAATATATCGTTAAATAACGATATCCGGACACAGTGATGGCTAGTCAACGGAAATTAGTACTGTAGAATACATATGTAAAAAATTTTCTTCTTAACCTCATATTGATGGCTAAAAACTTGTTACCACTTACCCGTTTCATCTGGGAACTACCCAGACTCATCAGACGACGTGAAACAAAAACTGTCTTGTAATAAAAATAAAACATCAAACTATATTTGTAATAAAATAAATTAAACTAAATAAAAAAAATTAAAATAAAAATAAAATAAAATAAAATTAGATATATAAGCTGGCATCTCTCTCTACACTGTCAGTGGTGTCGACATTCGAACCACACTCATGTTACATTCTATAATCCTTTGCCATTGAAAACAACCTACTCTCTTCATAACAGAAAGCTACGAAACATGTATGACTCATATATGATGTAACCTGCGTACATACATTATTTATAAGTAACATTGTTATATATACTACTTTTTTAATAAAAACAGTGTATGGATCATATTTTTACATATCGGACGGATTTTGGCAAAAAATGACATCATGATCGCCGATTTCGTTGAAATTTTTTTTATGTGCTCATTTCATAAAATAAGAAGACCCGTATCTTAGGAAAAAATTTTGTATTTTTTTTCCTAGGAGATATGGACGCATGGGGTTTTGAGAATTGGTATTGTATACACATTTTCAAATGGATATATCTCAGGCTCCATTAATGGTAGAAATTTAAACTTTTCTGCGTTTTAAAGATAATTGATTGAACTAAGAAATTAAGAAATTATTTAAACAATTAAGATTGTTTATATTTAAGTACTAATATTAACCGCAAAATCACAAAAAAATTTTTATTTCGAAACCTGTCCCCAGAATTTTAATTTCTTATATTTTATTTAGATTTAGAATTAAAATTATATTTTACCACGAAATGAAAATGTTCAGGATGGCATTATTTTTTGAAATCGGATATCATGAGGTCAAAGAGGTGTACGATTTGTAAAAGAATATCCCACATACTATTTAACTGTTATATATATATCACAGTTTATTTTCTCTTTTATTCAATAATTATTAGAAATACAGAAAAACTTTGTATGAATGAATTGTTTACTGAATCTATAATTTTTGGGAGGAAAGCTTTTATGTAAAATTAAATATGTTGGAGATATAAGCAATCAAATATCAATTTTATGGAAAAATTGGTTATTTTCCAATCTTTGGGGCTGCTGGGGCTCCATTTTCATTTATCCAATTGAACTAAAATTTTACACAGATTACTTTTTTTAGTAAAATGAACCGAT